TCCACCATGACACCCAGGTCCCTCTCTGCAGAGCTGCTCTCCAGAAGGTCGGTCCCCAGCCTGTACTGGTGTCTGGGGTTATTCCTCCCCAGGTGCAGGACCTTGCACTTGGCCTTGTTGAATTGCATGAGGTTTTTCACCACCCAGTTGTCCAGTCTGTCCAGGTCCCTCTGGATGGCAGCGCAGCCCTCTGGGGTATCGGCTACTCCTCCCCGTTTGGTATCATCAGCAAACTTGCTGAGGGAGCACTCTGTGCCTTCATCCAGGTCATTGATGAATAAATTGAACAGGACTGGACCAAGGACTGACCCCTGGGGGACACCAGTAGCTACAGGCCTCCAACTAGACTGATCACCACTGATCACCACCCTCTGAGTGATTTAGTTCAGCAGCAGCAATAAAATAAGCATTTTATCAAATCATTCTAATAAAATACCAGTTCAACTGCAGTCACTTCATATTTTATGTGCACTCAGCAGGATTGTTACCATCTCTTCATGAATGGATGGCAAAGAGGCATCTGAAAGAAGCATCCAATCCACTGAGAAACAAATTAAGCCTAAAGCGGCTCCTTCAGAAATATACTCACAATAATATATGTAATTTAATATATGTACATATGTACATTGGTATATATAGTACATGTATATTAGTGTGTATATATATTTTGTATAGTATTAGTATATAATGTGTGTATGCATATATTTATATATACATATACATATAGTACATGCACAACAAACTTTTTTTGCACCTGTGAACCCAGGAATTTGTACTTACCTGAGTGTTTTCATAAAACAACACATCAGGCACTTTCATTTTCTCAGCTGGGTTATAAATTGGCATAGTTACAGCCCCTATCTTCAGAATCCCATTGCTTATTTCACCTAGACATTTTTTGGGAAACAAACAAGGAAACGCATTACTTAGAGCATCCTCTGAGCAGATGTGCCATTCCTAACACTCACAAGCATAACTGATGAATTTTAACCAGGCTATGGGTTGTTGTATACGATTTCTCAGAATCTAGAGAATGTTTAAAAGGGCATCTATCTAACAAGCTATTCAGTGGAAAAGTACCTTAAAAACACTAGAAGTTGTGACTGCTGCCCTGGTTTAATTCAGTACTCTTGTCACTGAAGTACCATTAACACTGTCAGATTGCATTTTCTCAACTGCAGAAGTAGTATCTTAGTGATTTCCTTTATTCTTTTAAGCAAAGTAAAGTCACTGTTGATTTCTCCTTTCAGCATTGCATTTTTGTACAAATGGGTTTATGGCAGAAAATGGACACATTTAACAGCTTGGAGACACCTGGCTCCATCTGCAGTTTTTGAGGTGATCTTCAACTGTAGTTCCAAGAAAAAAGAAACTAGTGTAGAAAAAATTCTTAAATCAAGAGAACCTTAACTTCTGTCCTTAGGAAAGTAACACATATATAAATGATAATAATATGCTATCTTCTGACTTCTCTGCCAATGACTTTGTAATCTGGCAAGGTTTGAGAAGGAAAATAGCCTGCTTTCTAGACATATATTTTCACCTCTTATTATGGCTCTTTTTTTTTTTTTTTTTTGCATGATCTATGCACACAGCAGAGAAAGATTAAACAAATTCAAGGGAAGTATGAAGATGAAAAATGTGGTAAATAGGAAGCACTGCAGAACTGGTAAGATTTCAAATTATAAGTATAGGTATATACATGCACACACGCACATATATACATATAAACACACAAACCTTCATATATTTTATGTCTGTATTAACACACACATATATATATACACATATATAAAATCAATCTATAAAACCAGAAACTATATAAATAAAAACAAAGATGTGCTTTGTAATGCAAAGACGTAACAGTGAAAACAAGGAAGCCAAATACATGACACTACTGAGAATAACTATGCAGAAGAGGTGCAAAAATGAGGGAAATCCTGATGAATAAAAAGATCAAATATATTGAAAGAAAAAGTTTAGTGAAGGAAAAATAGCGGATGACTCAAAGCATGCTGCCCAACAGAAGCCATAAAAAGATATAAAACTAGCACAAAGACCAGAAGATAGGCAAGAATGAAAAAGCAGAAGTGAGAAAACGTTAGAATGAGAAATCTATGCATAGTACTGAAGGCAATTGCAAAAGAGTACAAGTTGGACATCTGACTGATAAAACAACATGTAACGACATTAGCTATTTAAAGAGAATAAGAAGAAGGAAAACTAAGTGTGTACCAGAATGAAAGCAAAACATAAATCTAGTACTTATGCAAGAGTGCCAGTTGGTTTTGGCAATAACTGAAAGAGCAATGGAATACTGGAGGCAAAGAACAGCACAAAATAGAGAAAGACTGAGACAACCACTGCAAGGCTGTAACCCTTTGGAAGAGTAGTGGCAGTGATAACAGAACTTAAAAATATATAATCAAAGCAGACCAAGAAAGTCTGAAGACACAGATCTTACTGACTGGGAAATCCTGAAATGTGACAAGCACCAAAGCCCCATGAGCTGAGGCTACAATAGATAATACAGACATACTGAGGTATTAAGAATGAATTCTATCTCAATAGAACAAAGCCAAATTGAACTAACTGAAGCAAGCTACATTTATTTTTGAGGATATTTGCCACAGCTTTATGTGCTCAGTCATCTAAGTAACACTCATGAAAAGAAGAACAAAAGGTATCAAAAGCTTACAGGTATAATCCTTCTCCTCTAGTGTCCTTGTATCATCTGCACTGGTCTCAATACCAGAATCCACCAGATTTTTCTGTAAAGCTGACCTGGCAAGGTTGGGTAAAAACCTAAAACAGGAAAAATGAGAGAGACGTTATTTTCCCTTTTTTTTTTTTTTTTTTTTTTTAAAGTTTTCAGTATTTGATGTAATCTACAATCAGTATGAAGTTTCATTTGGACCTTCAAACCTTGAATAATGTCTGTTCCCTTTACACTCATTTTCCAACAATTCATCTTCTGCCTATCATTCTGGAGATAAGTTGAAATACTCCTATAGGTAACTCATTACATAATTAATTTACGCTTTCATTTTAAAAGGCTACAGTGTCATACAATATTGCAATAAGGATGAACTGTGGAATAAATTAGGACTGGAGTTATGTAATCTCATTCAACACCCATTTAGAGTTTGATTAGAAACAGTATTTTTTGGAAACACCTTTCTCTCTTGATTCAGTTCAAGTGGATCTCATATTCTAGAGGGGAACCAAAATTGCTCTCAGCTCTCCAGAAGAGGATCTACTCAATTTTCCAAATCTCTCTTTTTTTTTTTTTTTTTTTTTTTTACATTTGTTACATTATGTTTAGCTTTTTTTTTTTTTTAATGAGATATTTGTATGTTTTTTTTAATGCAGTTTTGGGAACTGAATCCAAGTCTCCAGCAAACCTAGACACAACATGCTAGATATTAATATACCCCTGAATTGAGGATTCTGAAACAGTGAAGTATTGTTATAAAGAAGACCTGACTGTCTTATTTATATGATGTCATTAAACATCTCCATGAAGATGAGAAAACAGTACTATGCCATTCCTCCTTTCCTGCTAAGTCTGACAATACCACAGAAATACTGTTGAAGAAATTACAGAATTCAAGGAGCAAGACAGCGATCTACTAAAATATATTTTAAAATGCTCTTGCACATTAGCAATTGCTCATGAAACCCCTGGGCCTGCACCAAAAGGAGCATTTCTACCTGGAAAGGCAGGCTTTGTTAACAGCGTAGTGAAGACTTTCATCTGGATGGTGCGACAGTCGACGACAAATTCGCAACAGTTGTCGAGTAGATAAAGATGAAGCCAGTGATTGTGCCTGTCAAAAATAGAGGGTACCTTAATTATTTGATACGTGGGATTTTAATGGAACAGGACAGAAAAAATAATTAAAAAAGCCATTCTTTCAACTTTTCTTCTAGTTCGGAGGTGCTTTTTAATCTGCAGGTCTGTAGTTCTGTGCTTGTTGCAGGAATTCACTGCCATGAAAATCACAATGTCATCGAAAGGCTAAGATTTATTTCAATAAGAAAAAAAAGGTGTAAAATTGAATTTTATTGGCTATTTAAACCTAACTCTAAACATTAGTAACAGTAATACAGGGTCTAGTCACTAAAAAAAAAAAAAAAAAAGAGCATCAATGTCCTAAAAGCTGGTCTACAAAAACTAATATTAGCTCCACATGTAACACTCTGGCAAAATGGCCTGGCAAGAGTCGGGGATACGTAAACACGACAAGGCAGGAAGATTGTATCACCTCTGCTCACGCCTTCTGGGCGGGCTGTGGCTGGAACACTGTGTCCTTTTCTGCTGTCCACATGTTAAAACCAATGTTAAAAACTGGACATGATTCAGCAAAGAGCTACAGAAATGACTCAGTGCCTGGGAAGCCTTAAACAAATGCAGTAAAATTTAAAACAATAAATAATTAAAAAAAGAAAAAAAAAAGCTAGACTAAAACAGATCATTTATTTAAAGACACACATAAAAACTGAGACAGAAATGAATCTGTCTATAACTACGCCTACCGGACAAGGGTAGCTAATACAAACAGGGTCCTTTCTGTAGCAGGAAACACACGGCAATGAGTGCGATCTGATAAGTCACGCCACACTCTGACTGGGTCAAGTGAAATATTTTAATTAGGTAATTTCAAAACATTTTGTTTTCCTTTAAAAATCACTTATAGAAGTGTATTGTAATTATCTTAACATTGTATGCTGTTGCCATTGAAAAAAATTGCCATCAAGAAAATAAAAGGGAAAAGGAGAGAGGGGGAAAGGTAGCAATACATGAATTCACAGGAATTTTTTTCATCTTAAACATTTTTAAGTATGAGAAATTTCTCAAAACCAATTCTCTTCCCTGGAAAAGTGTGTTTTTGACCAACAGGCATTAATGTTATTTAAAAAAAAAATAATGAAATTGTACCAAACTTTTATCTCCAATGCTGAGAAGGCAAAAGGCAACAGCTCGCAGCGTGGCTCTGAGCGATGAGCCAGACGATTTAGACTGTGACAACTGGTAAGATCCCTACTCCTTCGTCTCGTGCTTTCACTGGTGGGCGACTTCTGAAGCATCTTCTGAACTCAGTCAGCTGACAAGCCAGCCTTACAGACCCTGAGCTGTAAGCGTGGTATTCCAGGTGTGACTTCACGACACAGGCACGTGTGAAGCACAAGCAGGGTGAGGGATGAGAGCGGTATTCCCGTGATCCCTGTTTGACAGCCAGAATTCCCAGTGGCTTTGGGAACTGCACTCCATTTTCAGAATTATCTGGCACTGTAAGCACTGGAAACACTTGCAAGCAGGATGATTTCTGGGGAGGTGAGCAATCCCCCCAGGTCACAACCTTGGAGAGGAATAGAGGTAAGTGCAGGTCACATCGAACTGAGCAGGACGGAGGAGGCAGCCCCTCCTGCCTCCTGTCTGACACACTGAAAAACCCAACCCCAAAGGACATGGGCATTTTAAAGCCTAATTTATATATGCTGTATCAGATTCTGCATAGGTATAAATAAGCATAGAGGAGAAGCTGTGTCCCATCTTCCGAATTTTTGCAACTGCGATAAGCTTTCAGTTAATAAAATTTCCTCTTTCTTCCTTTTATCCCTTTCTAATTTATCTTTATATGGCACAACAACAAACTCAAAATTGGGTTAGTGACAGTCTTTGTAACTTATACCCCTGCAGCATCTAATTCAACAGCATCTTCACAGTGCTCTCCAGGTTCTTTTGCAAATCAGACAATTACAGTGACACAGGCAACACCCCCGGGCTGAATATAGCCAGGTATTCTCCTAGTGTTAACAACACCATTTTAAACAACCCCTAATATTTCAGGATAATCTCTGCCAGGGGATTACTTACTTAGGCAGCTCTATAAATAGCCTGGCATACCTAGGGCACACATTTCTGCTCCTAACGCAGGCACGCTACTGCCGACATGGCTCGTGTCACTGCTGATCTACAAGAATCCTCCCTCGATCCGTGTTATGACTCACTTCTTAGCCAACATCGCTCACTTCATTTAGATATTCCACAATGCTATGGAGGCCTTTGTGAATGGTTCAAGCAAGGTATATCTCTAAATATGTCAACAATATAACACATTTATCAGTCTGCATTTCTATGGCACTGAGCGGAGGAGGCTAAATAGACTATTAGTAACAACAGTCTCCAAAAGGTGAACCTAAGAGTCAAGCTTACTACTTTCTTTTTTATTATTTTTTTTTAAAGAGGAGGAACATGTCAGCCTTTCAGCTTTCCTCAGGTTCTTAAGCACTGCGAAAACCATTACCAATGCTAAATTCACAAAAACTAAGAATGGATAATGTCTACATACCAGCTAAACTGCTGGATTCCACTAAAAATGTTTTACATTTTAGATACATTAAAATCATACACTGCTTGAGTTGCTATAGCAATGCTTTCTTTTTCTTTCCACTAAGATTTGACCATATCTTTTTAAAGAAGTTTGTGGTTACTATGTCAGCAGAACTTATTTTTCTTGACAAAATCACTTTAATAGAATAGTCATCACTGTAATAGAACAGCCTGTAGCAGTAAGGCAGCTAGGAATTCCAGAGTTTTCCCTTTTTGAAGTGTACTCCCAGTCTTCACTATTGCCTGCTGCATTTTATAATGGTTAGGCAGTTCTCTTTGCCCAAACTTTTGCTTACTATCAAAGTTCCAATGACTGAAGATCTGTATTATATATAGTAACATACAGTAAAGCAAACCTAACAAAACACATTTGGACACACATGACTATGTTCACACCTATTCAAAAGGTTCCTTGTATATTTCACACTTAACCATGTGTGTAAGCCCACTGATAACATATACTTTTCTGTCTGATTTTACTGGTATTCAGACAATTTCCTAAAGGCCTTACTTATGCAGATGTGAAAAACGTAAATCAAAATTCAAAAGTTTACAATCTGTGTGTGGTGCAATGGTTAGGAGTGGTGATTTTCTGAGCCCGTTTCTTTCCGTCAGGCAGCCTCTAAAATAGCACCATAGTTGATCATGCTTTACCCAGCCTTTGTTCAAACATGCAGTCACAGCAGGAGAGAGAAAATTTGAAAAAAAAAGGGCTTACTGTGGCGTCATTTGTCTCCCGAAGCTTGTGTGTTAATGACAACAACTGTTCCACAGCAACCCTGGGCACATTTGGAATCTGTTTGAAAGAAAAACAGTATTAATCTTATGGCAGGATATGCAAGATTCGTATACAGCTACATGCAGATGCTATGAGTATTCAGTTGCTGCAGTTGCACCCTAAAAGGAATACAATTTTGTCAAAGAACATTTTTATATTACAGAATCATTGAATATCATGATAAGAAAGCTAATTTATTCCAATGCCACCAAGAGATAAGCAGGATTTGAAAAGTGAAGAATGGCCTGCAATAGTGAAATATTTTGTACACAGTAAATAATCACATTCAGAAAAAAATGGCTAAAATAATGAATGTACATACCATTTCTTTAATAATTTGAATTTCTTCCTTCTTGCTTAAAGGTTTAACATTATGAAAGAGAAAGAGCGTCAGGAACTCTGGACCCAACCATTGCTGGGTGCTACTTCCAATGACGGGAGGTTCTGCTAGGACAACTATTCTGAACGAGGGGTGGATAGGGAAGATAGACCTGCAAGAAAACAATTTCTCAAATGCATTACGTGGCTTAAGGAGTGGGTATCAAATTTGCATTTACATTAGTTGGAGAAAGAACTGCATTATTGCACAGAGCCACAGCACAATATTTATTGAGAACATTTGCAATTCAGCCTCATAAAACTGACAAACACTTTACAGCGTGACTTGCACCTTTACTAATTGCAAACAGTTTTTGTGCTTAGGAGGGCACCCAGGTCTCCTCTTCATCTGTGATTGGACCTGCATGCCTCAAGTCGAGCAGGTACCAGCAACAAAGCTCCTGTTTACTCTGTTTTGTCTGTCCGAAAGGGACACATCTCAGTAATGTGATGGAATTTTACAAGTGTTTCACCTAGAGCAGCCCTTCTAACAGGCAAATCGGGGAGGGAACAAGATCTACCTGAATTGCAGTGATGAGGAACTTCTTTTACTCAACTAGATTGGCAGGCGGGATGATACTTTAAAGAGATCAGCCCAGCTACCACGAAGAGAAGGATTTATTTCCTGGTTATGTTACTGACTTTCTCTGCAGCCTTTGGAAAATCAGCTAGACTTTTAGGGTGGGATTAATGCACCTAACTTTATAATATCTCTTAACAGTTATACTTCAAAGCCTAAGCCAGTCACCCACGAGCCGTGTTAGAATCAGTGGAGGGAAATGAACACCTCCAGTGGCAGATTAAGCTGACTTATATGAATTTAAGAAATACCCTACTGGGTTCATCTATCTGCTCCATCTAGCTAAATGTCTCTGGTGGTGACACTGGGGTTGTTATTTGGGACTGGCACATAAGTCTAGTTACTATTAGCAGCTTAGTCCCCCCATACTGTCCCAGCATCCAAAAATCTCTGTTCCAGGTTACAGAATATACCTCAGAATATACCTCATTTGCTTTCATACCTGTTTAGCCACAAGTTTATCTAATCCCTTTCCAAACGTTTGGATCCTATCTGCCTCCACAACGTCCTGTGGGAACGCATCCTGAAGGCTCGTTACTCTCAGTATAAAAGGTCCTGTTTTCTCTTTTTGCTTTTTAATCTGCCTGGAACTGATCCACTCGATTCAGGGAGTGCCCCCTAGTTCTAACACTGGAGAATTTGGTGAGTAACAATATTTTAGATTTCTGCCTATTTCATTTCACTGAATATAATGGGACATACAACTTTTAGATGCGTACATTAGGGCAGAAGGCCAGTCCCTTGCTTTTGGATGGTATCATCCTCCTATTTTTTGACTGCCTTATTTAAGATTACCACCTCTTTAATTAGGAATGTGTAGCTGCTTGTTAATCAGCACATGGCCTTATCTATAGAAGCAACTAGACAGAAACAAATCAGATATTAAAGTGAGTCAAATTCTGCATGAAGAACTTGTGTCTGACAATTAAATTATTGGTATTATTAAAATAGCAGACATTAATTCGGGGAAAAAATACAAAAACAAGTGGAATTAGAGAGCTTATATTTGTATTTATGCCTGTTTCATTTGCCATTTTGCATACGATTAGAACATTTGGAGGTAAATATTTTTCTTGGCTAAATTGCCAGGGAAATGATGGTATAAGTGAGAAAGTCTGAAGAAAAAATATGATCCTTAAATATGAGTTAGCAGATCTGCCCTGTAGCTGGCCGATTTGCTAGTTACAATAATAAAATTCCAGTACAACAAAGTGAATAGAGCAAAGAGCCGCTTGCAGCAAAGCAAACACAGGGGGTGGCATCCTTTACTCTCAGCTGAAAGTCATAAGCCTAGAAGCTACTCTGTGATTGATAAAAATAGAAGTAGATGTCTGAAAGCATCACACGAACAAGGAACCCATGGGAACATCACCATCTAAAAGAAGGTCAGAGAACATTAACCAACCTTATTGTTGAAGAAAATATTTCCTAGATAAGATAGATAAAATAAATTTCAGACTCCTCTTTTTCCCCATTACTAAAATCAGTCCCCTCCATTAATCAACCTCAACTCCAGGGACCAATTTTGGTCCTGCAATACCATAAGAGGGCACAAGCAGCAGTGAGCTTTCCCCATCGAAGGAAGCACATTTCTCCTGCATCACCCCCACATCCCTGCCTAGCTCAGAAGGTCTGCTGGGGACAGGGTGGGAAGGCACGGGCAGGAAAGCAGAAGCCAAGTCAGAGCACATTAAACAGCAGGATCAGTTTAAGTTACTGATGTTCTCTTTATACTTAAATAC